CAGTAACCTATTCATTCAAATTAGCTAAGTAATCTTTTACCTTTTCCTTGTCTATCCTGAGCTGCAGCTCTTCCTTCCATTAGTGGCACAATGATGGCCAGCTAAGGCTTCCTTTCTCTTCTGAGAGAAAACAGATGTAGAATATAAGTTAAGACATTCTGCCTTACTGCCATCACCGTTACTAGTTCGCTCTTGCTACTGTATAGACTTTCTCCTTTTTCTTTTATTCCTGACATATCTGAAAAGTGCTTTTTGTTTTTTTGTTTTTGGGGGGGCATTTCTCACAAGCTTCAGCTCTTTCCTCATTAGGTTTTCTATCACAATCTACAATTTCTGGCAACTGTTTTGTATCACTTTTTTGGCCGTAGTGCCTGACTTCATTTTCTATATATATATCCCTGTTTCCTTTTATCATTTTAGAAAGTTCTGTGTATATCTCCACTGTTTTCTTTAAATATACTCCATTTTTCCTTTTAGTATGAATTGTTTGAAGTATACCATCAGTATCTTGCTTTGCTCTTCTGAATCCAAATATGTATCTGCTCCCCTGTACAGTATACAGGTGAAACTTGAAAAATTAGAATATCGTGCAAAAGTTCATTTATTTCAGTAATGCAACTTAAAAGTTGAAACTAATATATGAGATAGACTCATTACGTGCAAAGCAAGATAGTTCAAGCCGTGATTTGTCATAATTGTGATGATTATGGTTTACAGCTCATGAAAACCCCAAATCCACAATCTCAGAAAATTAGAATATTGTGAAAAGGTTCCATATTCTAGGCTCAAAGTGTCCCACTCTAATGAGCTAATTAAGCCATAACACCTGCAAAGGGTTCCTGAGCCTTTAAATGGTCTCTCAGTCTGGTTCAGTAGGAATCGCAATCATGGGAAAGACTGCTGACCTGAAAGTTGTGCAGAAAACCATCATTGACACCCTCCATAAGGAGGGAAAGCCTCAAAAGGTAATTGCAAAAGAAGTTGGATGTTCCCAAAGTGCTGTATCAAAGCACATTAAGAGAAAGTTATGTGGAAGGGAAAAGTGTGGAAGAAAAGGTGCACAAGCAGCAGGGATGACCACAGACTGGAGAGGATTGTCAAGAAAAGGCTATTCAAAAGTGTTAGGGACTTTCCGAAGGAATGGACTGAGGATGGAGTCAGTGCATCAGGAACCACCACACACAGATGGATCTTGGGCATGGGCTTCAAATGTTGTATTCCTCTTGTCAAGCCGCTCCTGAACAACAAACGTCAGAAGTGTCTTACCTGGGCTAAAGAAAAACAGAATTGGTCTGCTGCTCAGTGGTCCAAAGTCCTCTTTTCTGATGAGAGCAACTTTTGCATCCCATTTGGAAACCAAGAACCCAGAGTCTGGAGGAAGAATAGAGAGGCACACATTGCAAGATGCTTGAAGTCCAGTGTGAAGTTTCCACAGTCTGTATTGATTTGGGGAACCATGTCATCTGCTGGTGTTGGTCCACTGTGCTTCATTAAGTCCAGGGTCAACACAACCCTCTACCAGGAGATTTTGGAGCACTTCATGCTTCCTTCCGCAGAATGAGCTTTATGGAGATGCTGACTTCATTTTCCAGCAGGACTTGGCACCTGCCCACATTGCCAAAAGCACCAAAACCTGGTTCAATGACTGTGGGATTACTGTGCTTGATGGGCAGCAAACTCGCCTGACCTGAACCCCATAGAGAATCTATGGGGCATTGCCAAGAGAAAGATGAGAGACATGAGACCGAACAATGCAGAAGATCTGAAAGCCATTATTGAAGCATCCTGGTTTTCCATAACACCTCAGCAGTGTCACAGCCTGATAGCTTCCATGCCATGCCGCATTGAGGCAGTAATTGCTGCAGAAGGGCCCCAAACCAAGTACTGAGTATACACGCATGCTTATACATTTCAGAGGTCCAATGTTCTCTGTACAATCCTTGTTTTATTGATTGCATGTAATATTCTAATTTTCTGAGATTGTGGATTTGGGGTTTTCATGAGCTGTAAGCCATCAATTATGACAAATCACAGCTTGAACTATCTTGCTTTGCATGAAATGAGTCTATCTCATATATTAGTTTTACCTTTTAAGTTGCATTACTGAAATAAATGAACCTTTGCACGATATTCTAATGTTTCGAGTTTCACCTGTATTATGAATAACATGGTCCCTTTCTTCCAATGTTCAAGGCACCTTCACTTTTTCAACCATTACCTCCCAGTCAATAAGGATTAGGTGATTTCTTCCATCTTAAGAAGAAATTTCAAATGAAATTGTCAACAATATTTTCAAAGTTTTTTCACAGTGTCATTAATTCTCATGTAAATATTTAGAAAGTATGAGTAACAGTAGATTAACATACTATCTGCAGTGTCATACCAGGTCTGTGTATACTAGTCTCAAACTGTCTGAGCAGGGAATCACATGTCACAACATCTTTTTCCCAGAGTGGTTCTTGGTTTGTTTGATCCACTGGGGCCGGTATATTTTCCATTTTGTTACATGAAGCCAGAACTGGCATGCTCAGGTAGTCATGAACTCTCTTCAAAAGCAGCAGCTGAATATCAATAGTTGAATTCCAGTATTATCAAATGCCTTTTGAACTTGTTTCTTTGGGCTACATATTGTACTTCCACCAGCCTTCTTTTTTTATGTTTTCTGGTATTTTCCTTCTCTGCCTTTCCTGTGAAATTTTACATCTCCTGGCCAAGAATTTATCACTTTCCATGATGTGTTTTAATTAAAAATTAAGACCTTTTACTTTTTTCCTTTAGCAAGGACACAAGTTAGTACTTCCAGAATATGTCATCTTGGATTTCTTCAAACAGTACATACCTTGTAGATCATCACTAATCTTCCTTTGTTTTCCACGTTGATTGATAATTGGCAATTCCTTGCATAATTCCACATAAAACTCCCCAATTTGCTAATTCAGGGATCTTACTCTCTGGGGAACTGGTTTCCTTATATGTCCTTTGAAACGTCTTCAACTAGGTCAGCAGCAAGTAATCTCCAGTCACACACAGCCAGCAGCAGCAATCAGTCAGCCATTGTAGAGAAAAAGGAAAATGTATACATGCAAGCCCCTTTTGCCTAGGCAATGGAGCCTACATATGTCCATCAAGTTCATCTTCCTTGCTCAATAGAGTATAGTCTCTATTTCTTTGGTTCTTCAACTTTCTTCTTCCACTTGCCCTCTTTCCTTTGACTTGAACTCCTACCTAAAACTCTCTTTTTTTCTCTGCTTTTACCTACACTCAGTGACTTAAAGACATTATCTTCTTCAACATGGTAGGAAACAATTATTATTTTTATTTAAATAACTATATAATCCAAAAGAACAATAGCATCTTTGAAACTAGATTTGTTTTAAAAATCTGAAAAGGTATGTAATATTTTAGCAAAGCCCCAGGATTGCCCTTGCATACATTTCCTAAAGTCTAGGCATGAGAAAATGCTAGCACCTTACTCTCATTCATGTGTTACATATATTGTATAACATAGAAACACATAAAGTCAGGATTGTCTTGCTCAGCTTTTTATTTGAACATCTACCACAAGTTAATCATATAACAATAGAATGTACGAATTCCTTGACAAAACCCTCAAATGAGAGTGAATAATGTTTCCTCATATAATAGTTGATATTGCTTCACTGGAGTCTAAGATTATATCATATATAGGTACTCTGGTTTTTACCTCATCTGAATTCAACATGCAAAGCATGCTTTTTAATTAATAGATGTCATTGCACATATTTGTTCCATAGAATCAGACCAACAGAATCAGTATACTGAGAACACTTCCATCTTTGTAGAAGTCTACTCTTTTAAATGAATGGATGTTTACACAAATGCTTCAAAGGAAACCAAGTGCTTTAGCTCACTTCTGCAAATATGTGGAGTGCAAATATCAAGTAATAATTCTGGATGCTCTAAGATTTTCCTCATATTATTTAGAAACAAATATTCTGACCTACCCAAACCTGCCAACATTCCCTCTGCCTACTTAGAAAAAATAAGCAACACTCAAGAAAGCTTGATGCATTAAAAAATAGAGAAAAACTGCAAAATTGTGGGAGTCAAATTTATAACAAGATATATTGCGGTTAAGAATCAACAGACAAAATAGAAATGCATGTTCATGCCTTACTACTACCAGAGTAGTTGAAACTTGTACATGCATAATAATGGAAACACAGTGTTGTTACAAAGGGCTAGCAGTCACTGCATTTCAAAATATCAGTTTGATACCTTCTTCTGCATACAGTTTCTATTCATTTTCTTCAATAAATTCAATAGGAATTTGATGATTTTCAAGGTTCTGTTAGAGAAAAATGTGATGGTGTGTCTGTGTATGTTTTGCTATTTAGTTAAATACCATGGATTGGTATTTAAATTACATTAAATTAAATCCAAATTACAAGGGAGATAAATTGTTCTGGACCATTTCATTTGAATTACTTAATTTTTTCCCCCCATAGCATCACACATATTGGAAGAACATTATAAGGATTATGCTTTCAGAACAAAAGCATGGAAACAAGCCCCAGCTGAGAATTCCTAGATAGTATTATCTGTTTAGCAATAGCAAGCAATAGGACTTAGACATATATTGCTTTACAGTGCTTTACAGTCCCAACAATTTGGGTCCTCATTTTACCCATCCTGGAAGGATGGAAGGCTGAATGAACCTTGAGTCTTGAGAGATTTGAACTGCCAAATTGCAGGCAGCCAGCAGTCAGTAGAAGTAGCCTGCAGTATTGTACTCTAATACTTCGCCACCGTGGCTCAATAAAAATCACATAATGAGACCACATCAAAATATAAAAAAAATTATTTAAGATATATATAATTAAAAAGTGAATGAAAATGAACATTCCATTTTGTTGGTGCTCTATTTATGCTTATTATTTCTTACATAACATTTAATAATCCTCTTTGGCCTTCTGAAACTTTCTGTGCCCTAAAGAAAATTAAGAGACATTTAAACTTACCCCCTTTTCAATGCTCCCAGTTTGGCAAAGAGTACCTTCAGCTGCTGGAATACTGTTGGTAACACAGCGATTACTTTTGCTGAGACACCAAAGCTCTCTACACACTTCCTGGGAAAGAAGGCAGAAGCAAGTTGTTCAGAATAACTGAATAATAATGCTCCTTAAAATATATTTGTGTTGAAAGTCCAAGATAGTGTTCTAGATGCATATAAAAAAGAAAAGAAAAACAAATTGAAATGAATTTTAGAATATTTATTAGAATGGAATAACTCACATTTTAAAAAACCAAATTATATTTTTTCTGAATTCTCACATAATAAAATTGTGGAATTGTTCCCTATAACCCTTATTAGTAGTGCTATACATTACTTTTTAGCCATGTGCAGAAAATCCTCCACAGAATAATCTCACAGTGTAAATGTTTCATTCATCACACACAAATCCCAAAATTGGTTGTGTGATTTGGCCCTGGATCCACAATATTCTACAAACAAATGTAATATTATGAACATAAATCTTCAAGTTTATACAAAAATAACTTTTCTTCTAGGAGATTATTTGCATGATTCACCACCACTTGTAGGAACAGGAAACTTCCAGGACTAGAATAATTAATTGCCAATGGGATTGAATATTGCTTTGTCAGATAATAACTTAATTTTTTTTACTATATTAGATGTAGAAACCACAAATAATTTCTTAGCCAGGCAGAACCACTTCATCTCTTCTCTAAAGGTGAAATTTAAATCAATCTTATTTGACTGAATAGGGATTATTTTAGCCTCACAAAATGAAGAACATTCTTTCATTCTTCTGGATACAAGTCTTCTTAATTCATCATCCCTAAGTATAATAGGATACTTGGGAAACCCAGCTCTGATAATGGAAGTGAAGTAATCCACATAACAGTTTTGAAGATAGGAAAGCATTGCAAGATTCATATCTGGTCAGAATCAATCCTACTGACCATTTCCTGCAGATTTTCCCAAACAAATTTAAAAGTACTTCAGAATCTTGGTGCACTAGTAAATTTGAAAAAAAAAAAGGCATTTTCTATTGTGGAGGTTCACTATTTATTATTTCATTTCCAGTAGTAAAGCTTTTGGGTAAAAACTACCATTGAGGCCTTTTTTTCATGATGAGTGAAACTGGAATAGCAGCTCTTCTATTCATTTCAATCCTAATTTAGTCACACAGAATTCAAAAGGTATTGAGTAATATACAACAACATCAAGGGTTCCTAACTAAGGTTACCATGTTACAATTGTTTGATCCTCTCCCAAGCTGGCACCTCCTCTAGGATGGCATAAAGTGGTGGTGAAAATTTCTGGGAAAGTACCATTTAGCTATTGTATAGGAAGGCCACCCAGGAGATTGGCTGCCTCTTCTTGCCCAAGGCAATCTCCAGAAAAGATAAATGAAGCAAGATATGATGAAGGGGAGGAGGTTGGAGTGGGAAATAGGCCTGTGGTCTGCATGGAACCTGCAGATTAGGCATCGGTCCAAGGATTCCAGCAGAGTTAGAAGAGGGGGAAGGTGAGGAGGGTTGTTACAGCATCCTTGCAATTAGCCATAAGAGCTGGGGGATTGCCAAGTGCCTGGATTTTGTTCACATGGCTGCAGGGTGCTGCAGTGGCCATAACTTCAAATACAGATCATAATTCCCTTTTTTCAGTGCCACTTTAACTTTGAACAGTCACTGTATGAACTATTAGCAATAGCACTTAGACTTATATACTGCTTTACAGTGCTTTATATCCCTCTCTAAGTAGTATATAGAGTCAGCATATTGCCCCCAACAATTGGGTCCCCATTTTTACCCATCTTGGAAGGATGGAAGAATGATTCAACCTTGAGCCTGGTAAGATTTGAACTGCCAAATTGCAAGCAGCTAGCAGTCAGTAGAAGTAGCCTATTATTGACTATTGTAAATCAAGGACAACTGAACATACTGTTCAGCTTGCTTAATATCATATTGATAATTTATTCATGAAATTCAGCATGATGCTCTAGATTTATTTAAAACACTCTACTGAATATTTTATTCAGTGCAAATAAAAGAGGTAATAATGATTAATGAAAGCATATTTCACTGTATAATTTGTGTCATTAAAAGGAAAATGGGGATATAATTATGCCCTGACTCTCAAGCTAGTACTATCACTGATATCACTTTTTGATAACGTGACTGACGAGAGAGTAAAATGTGTCGTTAGCACTCATAATGTAAATATATATGGTAACCTACCACATAATATACAATTGCTGATAATTATTACACCAATGTTGTATGGCCTTATGACTAAGACTATTAATTTGCAGAAAGTGATAAATTAGTGCAGTATTCCCAATTAATTAACAGCACAATCTAATTCAAGCTAAGTTAAATCTTTCATTTCCTACCAATGTACTCAATTCAAAGGGCAACACTATCGTCAAGACAAGTGAAGTTCAAAGGATAAAGTAGAAACATGGTCAGTATGAAACAACAGATTAAGGATTCCAGCAGTCAAGTGCAATACAGTTTGACGCTCATGAGGCTTTAATGGAAAGCTTTTTTCCTGCACTTAATAGCATTTGAATGACATCTTAAATGGACATGATCTCAGCTTTTGACCAAGCATAGACAGTGTCTTATCAGCCCTAATTACTGAGACTGAAACTTCAAGATCACATATCCCTATGAGATTATCCTTGCAGATAGTGGATTTTTCCTTTCTGTGTTCTTGCCTCCTATCTGAACTCAATTATGTTTTTATAGGATAGATGGTTCAGTATCACATTCAAAGTCAGAATTTATGGGAATTGGGAATGAAGTAATGCTATCTGAATAAGTCTTTCAATGGTGTCAAGATTCGTTCCATTTCTATTAGCATGCTGTTAACAGTGATCATGCAGCAGATATTGGTTGTATCAGTTTGAAACTACAATATTATAGAAGTCCTTCTCTATTCATTTTTTACATTCTTTTTGACAGCATATGCTAAATCATTACATAATATTCCAAAAATTGGCCCTATATCAGATATTTAAACTACCACTATAGAAATAAATTATAATATTTGATGGATATGACATGGTTAACCTGAAAAACAAAAATTGTATACAACACACATTAAAGGTACTAAGAACTGCAGAAAATGATATATTTAATGACATTGCCATTTTGGTTTTTTATTTATATTACAAACAAGATAACTTCTGGCAAATCATCCACCCATCTATATTTCTGCTTATGCACTCAAAATATTTTTTACATCATCATATAATCCAGTGCATCAGAAAATAAGCAGATAATTGGGAAAGACACTCAATTTATTAACATTTTTGCTGCTCTTGCAGATATTAGTCAATATATTTCTTTGTTATTTATGCACAGGACATTAGCTGAATATTATGCATATTTATTCATATGACAATAATTATTTTAAAACAGTAGCTAATTGAATGCAAATATGTATAAAATAAGCTTAATTACTTTACAACAGTTTGATGTAGTGGTTAAGACATCAGATTGGAAACCAGGAGACCACGAGTTCTAGTCCCACTTTAGGCATAAAGCCAGCTGGGAGATCCTAGGGCCAGTTATTTTCTCTCAATCCTAGGAAGGAGGCAATGGAAAACCATTTCTGAAACTTCATGCCAAGGAAACTGTGTGGACTTATCCATCTCTGAGAATCGAACAAGATTGAACAGAAGAAGAAAAAAATCTATATCTACTGTTCCAAAACAAAAAAATTCTCAGTTTTCTATCTCATCTATCCAGCAAAATGGATGAGATTTTAGCCTGCATGGGGCAGAATGGAGCTGCATCCTGCTTCATCTGAATGATTGAGGTTTTCCCAAATAGCTTAACTTGCAAGTTAGATAGCACAGACTGAATCTTTTCACTAAAAGCCTTCATTTCTCATTTATTTCTATCTTGCCTCTTGCAGTCGCTTGCATTTGCAAATTGGTCTGTGAAGATGCCTATAACTGCAAATGAAGAAATTCACTATATTCTATAATAATGTTTCTTGTTCTTTTATGACTGCAAAAGCAGAATTCGTAATAAATAAAAGATATAAAAAGAAATATTTTAGAATATTTCAGATGAAAATACTAAAGAATTTCTGTTGAAAAAAACTGATATTTGGTATCAAAATATTGAGAACTATGGTACATGTTCAACTTGGCAATACTGAGTACAATAAGCAAGATTGGTTAACTTATTATATTAAAATAGTGTTTGCTCACAAAAGCATCTATGTAACTTGTAAGATTTTAATTGTCAAATGTTAACATCCAATTATATTTCTTGCATTGTCTGAAATATTATATTTGATTAAAAAGACCAATAATTACAGTTATTTCATTTTTCCAGTTGTCTTACTATTGGCTATGTTTTAGTATAATCAGACTTGACTGAACTCAGAAGTGGGAAAAGTGGCTGCAGATACCAAAATATGAATTGTTGAAATAGAATTTGGTTAAAATAATTACTTTCTGATTCAAATCAGTGCTATTATTTCTCAGGATGGTGGTCCTTGGTAAAATAGAATAGATGAGATGTTTAATAATCTATTTGGGAAGTCAATCAGATTTTAAAACATCTATCAGGTTTTTTTTTACTACTCTAGTATTAGTTTAATTTGCACATAAGAAGATGGATTACATTATATTGTTATATTAAATAAAGGGGGACTTTATTTAAGGACACAGAAAAGATAATTCTTGCTATGACATATTTTAGCTTTTAAATTCAAGTATGTAAATAATATTACAAATATCCTAAAAATTCAATTCAGTTGAAATCAATATTAAATATTACATTTACTCCATTTTGATATCTGATTTGAGAAAAACAAAAAGTTTTAAAATTTATATTTACATTAACCGATAAAAGTAAACATTAAAATAGTTATTATTAGATGCAACTTTTAATATTTTTGTATTTTCTTTAATTGGTAAGAGAAATACAGGATAATCAAGTATCTGCATTGTATGAGAAAATAAAGCATTACCTGTTTTTATTTATTTTAGCTATTATAATTTTTAACAATTAAATTGCTGATTTACATACATGTAAGATACAATTCTAACTTCAAGTAACTTCAAGTGGTCATTAA